ATTCTCAAGAACAAGTCCTTGAAGACAGGATGCCGTCAAGTGCTAGCAGTCGCTCAGGTTGAACACCGAGGAGAAGGGGATTCCAATCCAGTGGTCCTGAAACAGGTCAACCAGGATTTCACGTTTCTGGAACGTGATTGTGTTTACTTGGATTCTAAAGATGCAAAGGTCTGGGAGTAACAACCCAGAAAAGAAAGAAGTGGGCCAGTAAAATCTTGGAAAATGCCTAGGCATTTGTGGCTACTCCTGCAGAGTCCTGGGAGTGGGAGGAAAACAGTAACCTTCATGACAATGGACAAATGGGGCATTCAGCAGCGGGGATAATAGGAGCACTGTGGCTATTCTGAAGAAAGTCTCCTATCTGCTCGGTTTCAGCAATTCAGAACCTGTGTGTTCCTCCCTTTGTCCTCAGCTTTGCTACGTTAGAAGCCAGCCTATCAACTTCTCCTCAAAGTAGCCTTCCTATTATCAGTCCCAAAGGTCACAAGCCTTCTCTTTCTCTTCTCTCTCAAGGTTTACACTAACCAGAGAGGTCTTTTTGGTCAGTAAAACATAACTGTTTAGCAAAGAAGTCTCTCTCTCTCTCTCTCTCTCTCTCTCTCTCTCTCTCCTTGGCACCAGTATCTTAGAACGTTGGAAATTAAAGAATGCACTTCCCATTTGGAATGAATGTAGAAAATAACCAGAGAAAACTTTAATGGGACAGAGACCCATGAAACACTAGGAACAAGCCAGTTTTAGACAGTCACCTCCCCATCTCTAGGCTGGTTCTGTTTCTGCTCAGCCTGTGGGATCAGACTGTATTTAATATTATCAACCACTAGCAAGTCTGAGCCCTCAGAAAATGCAGGAGTCACACGATGGGCTGAAATTCTCAGTTCTCATATGCCTAGCTCTAATACCCAGACCAGATTTTCCTGAAAATCGCCAAACTCATTCTCCTAGATTCAAAGAAATCTGAGTGAATTCACTAGGAACTGAAGAAACAAAGATTTAACTACTGAGCACCTAGTGCTTGACTCAGTGTTGGATTAGGGAGCAGATCATTACAAGTTGTTAAGAAGTGGGGCTCAACAACGGACAGACACTAGAAAGTCCATTTTCATAACTGGCTAACGATGCAAACAGAACGCAACCAGATGCATACATGCCACAGGGCATGGGGTAAGAGAAGTCTGAGTAACAATGTGAGGGGAATTTCCCTGGGAGAGGTCAGACGTAGGCCGAGAGTTTTTAAATGCGTGAGCTGGAGTGAAATGTTTCCTGGGATAGGGGGTGGAGGCTGCTCCTCTGCCCTCTTGGCTGCTAGTGTTCTCTAGATGTCACTCTACCGCCCTTCCTAGCACACTGCCTAGGGCAGAATGACAGCTGAGATGTCACCGAGTTCTTTGATGAAATCCCCCCTTACCAACTCAGCCTAGCTGCCACTAGCTAGTTTATGCACTTAATGGTTTCATTGTTGCTTTGTTTTTTAGCACTAACATGTTTGGGTTTCTGTGGTGGGCCATGGGAGAGAACCCCTCCCTTTTGTCCTTGAAGGTTTAGGTCAGAGGCAGAGATGCAGCTCAAGTGACAGAGAGTGTGCCTAGTATGGGCCAAAGCGATCTAGGCTCCATCCCCATCACCATGTGAGTGCAGTAGTATACATACGTACTTAAGGCATGCTGGGAGGGAATGTCTTGTCTTCCTTCCAGGCTTCCACTGTTGGACTAGAAGTCCAAACATCAGGGAGGAGTTGCTCCAGACACCACTCACATAACCACAATTGATGCAAAAGCAAGAGGATTTTTATTCTGTCATGACAGGGCCCTTCAGGTTCAGGATATGAAGGACATCCGATAGCTGTTACAGTCCATATTTTAAAGCAAAAAGCCACAGACACAAGGTGCGGGGGAGAGGGGGACCTGTAGGTTGTTTTACTAGCAGTGATTGGTCTATTCCAGGGCAGGAGAATAGCTGCATGATCGGGTGAGATAAGGGAGAGCATCTGTGGGCCTTCCTGACTAAATCAACACATCAGGAACTGAGTCAACATCTGTGGGTTGTATTTGCCTCAATTCCCAGAACGGAGTTATGTTTGAAGATTATTCACAAGGACACAGGGGGATGAGCAGTCCAGCATGTGTGTGTGGGGGCAACCGTCCAGTTTTCAAGAGAGAGTGAGTGTAAGGTTTTAGAAAAATGTCTTAGGGCTAAGGGGGCTTACAAATGTATTTAGAGTCTTTCACCACTGTTTGCACTTCTCTCAGCATTGCCTCCCAAATTTCCACAAGAACTCATTAAAACCCTGAGCACCTAATGGCTTTTCCAGCCCAAAGCTCCAAGATCTTTTACAGTCTTCACACAAAACATTCCAAGGCATAAAAGTCACATGGCCAGGCCTGCCACAGCAGCACCCCATTCTCTGGTCCCATTCTCTGTGCTAGTTCGCTTGTCGCTGCTGTGATAAGACACTGGCCATGCCCAGCTCGGGGAGGAAAGGGCTTGTCTGACTTACAGTTTACAGTCCATCATCAAGGGAAGTCAGAACAGGTGCTGGAGGCAGGAACCAAAGGGCAGGAACTGAAGCAGAGCTCATAGAGGAATGCTCTTACTGGCTTGCTTTACCTGGCTTGCTCCGCTACCTCTCTTACCCAGTCCAAGCCCAGCTGCCAAGGGATGGCACTGCACAGAGTGGAATAGGCCTTCCTCTACTGGTTAGCAATCAAGAAAACACCCCACAGACAAGCCTATAGGCCAATCTGATTGAAGCAATTCCTCAGTTGAGGTCCCCTCCTCCCAGATGTGACAACAAAGAATGGTTATGAGAGTGTCAGTACAGAAGAGACCCTTGCTGGGCAGTGGTAGCGCACGCATTTAATCCCGGCACTCGGGAGGCAGAGGCAGGTGGATCTCTGTGAGTTCGAGGCCAGCCTGGTCTATAAGAGCTAGTTTCAGGACAGCCAGGGCTGCACAGAGAAACCTGTCTCAGAAAAAACAAACCAAACCCAAACAACAACAGCAAAAGAGTTAGATGATTCCTTCTGTTATCTGGGGGAAAGAGTGTAAAGTACATGACCTAGAAAGTAGCCCCCTCTTGTACTGATTGAGTCAGCACCTGGATCTTTGTCTTCTAAGCTTCTAAAACTGTAAGTAAATATTCAGACCCAAGTCATGTACTTACAATATATGAAGGCAAAGCACTCATACACATAAAATAAGATAAATTAAAAAAATATCTTTCAAAGGGCTGGAGAACTGGCTCAGGGTTGAATGCATACTGCTGGTTTTACAGAGGACCTGAGTCCAATTCCCAACACCCACATGCAGTGGCATATCTATAACTATAGCGGCATACAGACATCTATAACTATAGCTCCAAGAGATCCAGTGCCTCTGGACTCTGTGCGCGCGCACACACACACACACACACACACACAATTTAATTTTTAAAAATTGTAAAAAGGTAATTTGTTATTGCCTATTATAACCTGCCTAGCATATAGTGTTTTGGTACAGTAGCCTGGCAATGTAATAAGACAATCAATAGTGACCATGTGATTTCACACAACTGGGTGTGAACAATGGGGAAGAACCTAGCTGCAGCCTCAGTAGAGAATGCCCGAGGCTTCAGTTGCTGGTTCTGGGCTCCCTCTAGTGGTGCATGAGTTTGTTCCCTTAGATGGTGCTCACACATAGAACTGCCAGATTTAGGGTACTGCGAACAAATAAAAGACCACAGAACTATTATAATGCCTTTCTTTTCAAGATCTTTCCTCTCTCTATCTCTCTCTCTCTCTCTCTCTCTCTCTCTCTCTCTCTCTCTCTCTCTCTCTCTCTCTCTCTCTCTCTCTCTCTCTCTCTCTCTCTCTCTCTCTGAGACATTTTCCCATTCTGTTGATCGGGCTGACCTAAACCTGACTTGGTAGCTCAGGTTGGTCTGGAAATTGTGATAATCCTTTGATAGGTTCCCAAATGTTGGGATACAAGTGTGAGCCACCACACCCAGCTTAGAATGGTTTTCTACAAGACTTTGTCATTGATGATAAATTCGGATGTACAAATGGTTGAAACAAGACACTGAAGAACGGTCTGACTTAAAGGGGCAGGATGGATTTTCTGGCTGACTGGGAGACATCTGCAGTTCTCCTGAGGACGAGCGAAGAGTTGAAGGCCTAGGAACAGAACCCCTTGTTGATAATTGTGACATAAGGACACGAGTGGGTGTTCCCGTGGGGAAGCTGCGTGTGTCCTGGCTAAGGTCAGAGGACTTTGAATGAGATTAACTTTTCCACGCAACACAAAACAACACGTACTCTCCTCCACCTCATATCCCTACTAGCATAGCCTCCACCTCTGCTAAATAAATCAATGCAGCCATCTGTAAGGTTTGAGCGGTTCTAATAGTCTCCTCGTGTATACTTCCCTCTGTTGGCATTGGCTATGGCCACTGACTCTACCTCTCACGCGACCGTGCTAAAATACGCAGAGAAAACCTCTTAAGATCATCCCATTAAACTTTCATTTTCTGGTCAGTTCTATACCACAGCCGTCCACAAGGACGCCAACTTTCACATCCGCTCCTTTACAAATTGAAGACGGTTATTATGTCTTATATTAGGTATTCTTTCCCATGTCTGGACGCTATGAGCTTTTTGGAACGAGAATAAAATAAATTTCATAAGGTGTGGCCATCACGATTAACTTGACAGGTAATTTATTTACACCTCAACAGCCTGTCCCCTCCTCCCACAGTTTTATCTTCACAAAAATGCAAACTCTTATTGGAAATTCAGAAGGCAGAGACCTGACACTGATGTAGCAGCCAAGGTACGTGTTTATGCCCTAGTGTGGCTTTGCGTTCTCACGGCCTCTGAAGGCTGCGGGAGGGACAGCGCGGGTTCTGGAAACTTTATGGAGCCCCAGCCTTTTCACTTTCCCATAAGCCCTTTCGACCGTCAATCAGACGCTTGTCCTTTCATGGCGCATGCGCGCTGCCTGCATCCGGCACCCGGGTAGAATTGCTGCCGGGCTCTCCCGGGAGTGCTTCTTCTAATCATGGCTCCAGACTCGGGGGCCTTTCCCGACGGACAGCTTTTGAAGCTGCTGCCGGTGGATCCCCGGGACCGGGGCACCCAGCGCTGCCGCCTGGGGCCGGCTGCTTTCCGCAGCCTGGGCGCACGCTTGGGCTCGCCGCTGAGGATCACGTTGCCCGCCGGCGGCTGCTGCCTCTGCACGGCCTGGCCCCGGCGCGACGGGGCGGACGGCTTTGTGCAGCTGGACCCGCAGTGCGCGAGCCCCGGGGCCGAGGCGGCGGTGGGGAAAATCAGTCTGGACAGCTTGCAGCCGGTGCCCTGTCCGCCGCTGCGGCGGGTCGCAGTGTGGCCGGTGCTGCGACCGCAGGCGGGAACCCCAAGCCCTGATGCGGTGCTGGAGGTAGCGCACGAGCTGCTGCGCCACCGGCCGGTGTCGCGGGGACACGTGGTGGCCACCCCGCCTGGCATCCCCGGCCCGGTTGCCGCACTGCACGTGGTGGGCGGGACGCCGGACCCTGAGCCCGCCGGCTTGGTCACACCGCACACCCGCATCACGCTCAGCGACAAGCCGCCGCCCCAGGTCGAGCCCCCGGAGGAGGTGGCCCTTGGGGGCCTGTCGGAGACGGCCGCCTCCCTGCGGGAGCTGCTCCACCTGCCACTGCGCTACCCGCTCGCCCTGGGCGCGCTTGGGCTGGCGGTGCCCCGCGGGGTCCTCCTGGCTGGACCCCCGGGAGTGGGCAAGACCCAGCTGGTGCGGGCGGTGGCGCGCGAGGCGGGGGCCGAGCTGCTGGCGGTGAGCGCCCCGGCGCTGCAGGGAGCCCGGCCCGGGGAGACCGAGGAGAACGTGCGGCGCGTCTTCCAGCGTGCTCGGGAACTGGCCAGCCGCGGGCCCAGCCTCCTCTTTCTGGACGAGGTGGATGCCCTGTGTCCCCGGAGAGGCGGCTCGCGGCGAGCCCCCGAGAGCCGGGTAGTGGCCCAGGTGCTGACGCTGCTGGACGGCATCCATGGGGACCGGGAGGTTGTGGTTGTAGGAGCCACCAACCGGCCAGATGAGTTAGACCCAGCGCTGCGCAGGCCCGGGCGGTTTGACAGAGAGGTAAATAGCCCGCTTTGGTTAAGAGCCCCTGGTCCCTCGAAGCTCACCTTTTTGGACAGCTGGGTCAGGCAGGGTGAACCAGAGCCCGCTTATTCTAGAGTCAGATCATTCTGGGAAGCGGGGTGGTCATTAGGTTTGTTTTGCTAATGTTTATGTTAAGTCTTCAGGTAGCTCAGCCTGTTGCAAGCATATTCAACTGAAACAGCTTTGGAATGAAAACCTAGTCACAGTAAGAGAAGGCAGGAAAGGCAAACAAAAACAGACATCAGCCTCTTAATATATTCATTCCGTGTCAAGGTACCAGCTTCCTGTTCTACAGTTGACTTCCTGGGTTGTCAAGAAAGTTGAATATTCACAGCTGCCTTGTTTTACGAGTTTTGGTCTTCCAGTGATTTTTTTTTTTATTGCTAAGGAATAGTTAGAATAACTAGTAATTAAGCAATACGTGAATTGTGTGGTAGGACTCTGCAGAGGGGTAGCAATTGCATACTTTCGCTTAACTCTTTTGCGCCCGAGAGTGGGTTTCTTCCTTGCACCAGCTTATTAAAGGCCCTTCTCCCAAAGAGCAAGGACCTGGATGATCTGGCCTATTGTTTGATCCTCGTCAGCCAGAACTTCTTCAGTGAAATATATAATTTTCATTGATCAAATTCCCAGCCTCTGTTGGCCCATTAGGGAATTAGTATTTTCTTATATTCAGAATCTAAGGTGTGCTAAAAGGTCGTGATACAAGTTCCAGAATTATGTATTAGCGATTAAGAAAACACTGCAGACATGCCCATAGGCCAATTTGATAGAGAAAATTCCTCAGTTGAGGATCCCTTCTCCCAGATGTGATGATAAAGGATAGTTATGAGAGTGTTATTACAAAAGAGACCCTTGCCGGGCGATGGTGGCACATGCCTTTAATCCTGGCACTCAGGAGGCAGATGCAGGCGGGCAGATTTGTGAGGATGCTTTTAAAGAAAGGATTTTAGTTGAATCGTTTTGATTTTTCTATGTTTTGCTTTACCTGTAGGTCGTCATTGGGGCTCCCACACTTAAACAAAGAGAGACAATTCTGCAAGTTATTACTTCCAAGATGCCCGTCTCCAGTTACATTGACTTAGGTCTCCTGGCAGAAATGACAGTTGGCTACGTGGGTGCTGACCTGACCGCGCTCTGTAGGGAGGCTGCCATGTGTGCCCTTCTTAAGAATGAGAAGGTAAGATGTGTTAACGTATGACCAGCCGTGCTCATCTTTCCTGGTGATACGACAAATTAACTTGGGGTTAAAGAAGTGGTGAGTACAGTACGCTCCTTGGCATGGTTGGCAGTCTCCACGGCTGCTTCTGTGTGTATGTATGTGTGTGTGTTGTATGTGAATGTATGTATATGAATTTACCTCATAGATTTGCATCTCAATGCTGTATAAACATATGATTGAAGATGAGGAAACGGCTGAGTCTTCCAGGCAGTTTCTTCAGTGAGTTTTCGTCGTTGCCACAGGAACTCCCTAGTGCTGGAGCCAGACCAGCCAGGAAAGGTGTTGCCCCTCAGAAGAATCTGACAGATTTTAATTGAAATTTATTAAGCAGCCACCTGAGACTTAGACAGAAAGGTCCAAACGCAGGACTAAGAGCTTTCGTACAGCTTTCCCCCGGATGCTGCAGTCATGACATCTGCTGGATTACTTCTCATTTTCTTTCTTGTGTGCTTGAGTTTACATGTGTGCATGTCTTTCTAAAACATTTAGAAATAATCCACAGCCATGATACCTCAGCAAGAATTTTAGCACTGACGATTAACTTCAGCGTTTGATTTCTAGAATAAGATGGTATCTGTAAGATTTCTTCATTGCCAGGAGACTGTTTTTTTTTTCTTTATTATTGATAAATGTCTAGGGAGAAATGAAGTTTTCTAATCCAAGAGAAATTGAATACTTGGAATTGTATTTATTCAAGATTGTCACTGATTTTCACATTTTGAGTTTATAATTACTTTAAAAATATTTAGGATGATCTTAAATGTAATATTTTTAATACTGTTAATTTAAAAATCAAGTCATTTAGTATCTGATAACTGGAGTCCCTAAACCTCTTCGGCAAACAATAGTTTCAACAGCTGAGGATTCTGGGACATTTCAATGTCGTTCATAGCATCCTAAATTATTTTCAACTAAATAATTTATATCTTTCCTAATTTTGCACTATTTTCATTCTAAGGTGGGAAGAAGTTAGATGCACTTCTGAGTCCCCATCTTAATGGATTTGGTACCAAACTGCCTAGAGTTTTAATGAAATCCTGTGTAAAGGTGTGAGAATGTGTGTCCTTTGTGGGAAGGGGTGAGAGTTCCAAAGAGGGGAAGGGAGGCGCATTTAGATTTCCTCGCATTGAAGTTCTAGGCTTCATTTTAAGCATCTCTGGCTTAGGTGGACCAGCCACTCTCTGCTGTTGAGGGGGGGGGGGTCTAGTCTCCATAGTTGATGGCTGAGTTCAGAAACAACCCAAGGGAAGTGGAGGGAAGAAGGGGCAGAGACGTCTGGGAAGATTTGGCTCGTCTCTCTTCTCCCACTAGGCAGGTGAGAGGCTCTGTACCAGGGCAGACAAGGAATCCATTAAAGTTTTTCTGAAATAGTCCAATTAAGAAATCAGGAACACAGTTTAATGAATTCAGAAGATGAAAGGATATATATGCCTGCAAGGACGCAGAGAGTCAGATGAAGTGAAGGGTGTTCAGTGGTGAAGTGAGATCTTCAAATGCTAGGTGATAATATCTAAAATTAATGAGTATTCCGTGCCCAGAGTCTGAGACCGCAAGCCAGTAAAGCGAAGAAACGAAACAGAGAACGATGGTTATGTGTTCCGTGAGTCTTTTCATCAACATTAGAACAGATGCACCTGAATGGCAAAATCAGCTGGCAAAAGTTTGTCAGATGTTTCCCTGTCAAACACACGACTGAAACTCAATAGGAGAACCAAGTATAAAGAGAGTGAACTTTGCCCAAAATATCACCTTAGATGTGAAAGCTGCTAACATTTGATATGAAGGCAAATTACTTAACAATAATATAGGTAAAATGGAAATGAACATAAGAAGCTTTTTTTCATCTAATTTATTTTAAATTTATTTTTTTAAAAAAGAAAACAAGCTATCTTTATTTTACATACCAATCCCAGTTCCCACTCCCTACTCTCCTCCCATCCCCTACACTTACCCCCACCCCATCAAAGAAGCTTTGAGCAAACCAAAATTGTGCTTCACTGGGATGATCAAGAAAATCGTAATTAATACCTAATGTTAGGGGAAGATGGCCTTTGAGTATAACGAAAAGAGCCAATAAGGGCATGACTTGCTATTTGAACATTTGGAGATGGACAGATAGGTAAACTTGCAGACATGACTAGGGGAAGGACTTCGGGCCCATTATTTTCATATGGAGAGAAGGTTCAGAGACAGCTGAGAGCAGCAACCTGAGAGGAAAGATACAGGCACAGACGGTAAAACACCAGCAAATGTGATCAGTCTGCTTAGCTTCTCTAAAAGTCGCTTCCTGTTAGGTTTCTTTTTAACTTTTTATTTTTGAAATCATTTTAATTTTGTTGGAAAGTTCCAAAACAGTTACAGAGAATTTTAAACAGGCCCTTGATCCAGATCCATAATTTTTAACATATTGCTAAGTTAGTATTATCATACTCTCTTGTCCATCGTGTGTGTGTGTGTGTGTGTGTGTGTGTCTGTCTGTCTGTCTGTCTGCGTGCACTCGCGTTTGTGTATGGGCATGTTTTTTGTTTTATAGGGGCCACTTGAGGATTTTTTTTTAATCTGAGATTTGTGACTTTCACATGAGTGATTTGGGTTATCTTGTAGAACGTTCAGATTCCAGGTATGCGTCCCTGATGGGAACAGTACTTAGTCAAGATTGTGTCTTTACCATGTGGAGCATGAGGCCCCTCAGATGCTCGTTGGTGTTATGAACTGAATACTGAACGGTTCCTCCATGGAGCTATAGTACGAGGAGATGCTTTGAAGTGTGAAGATGTCCTCTCCTCCGTGTTCTTACTCAGAACAGCGTTTATAGGAAGTCGCAAACACCGATGTCTTTCTACTTGTTATTTCCTCTATTTCACTCTAGTTTGAAGAAATTTAATCAACACAATGTTGAGTATCATTTCTTCCTGTCACATCCTGGCAGACTTAAAAGTTTGTTAGAGTCGTCTGGGGAGAACAGCTTCCTGTAGCCAGAAGGGCAGGAGTGGCTGTGGCTTCCTAAGAGGACAGTCCCTTAACAGCTGTAGCTGTCTGAATTTAGGCCTTGCGCCTTGTAAGCTCAGCAATTCCACTTTGAGGACATGATTGTCTGAGATGCTTGAACTTGAGACTAGTGGTAATTAGATTTATACATTCAAAAGAGAGAGTTTTTTTTTTCTTTAGGTTGTTATGTGTGTATGCTATAACAAAAGCCTGCCTAATTTTTGGCTTGATTTTTCTCTTGGGGTTTCTTCAGAACCAGGACAGTCCTCAGATTGACGAAATGGACTTTCTTGATGCTTTGAAAAAGATTCAGCCCTCATCATTTCGAAGTTCTATTGGGCTGATGGACATCAAGCCTGTTGGCTGGGAGCAGATAGGGGGACTTGACGATGTGAAGCTGAAGTTAAAGCAGGTAACGGTTATTAATCAGCTTGTCTGGCTGAGTCCCATGGTAGCGTTCTGTGTCTATAATGGAAATGCCGCAATCAGATGCACTTGCCGCCATCTTACCCGAATTCTGCTCTGCAGACATCAAATCTAGTTTCTGTGATTCTCCATCTTAACCCTCTCTAAAAACTTTTGCTTTGAGGAGTTCATTCTCATCTAGAACACAGGTCGACAGAACTCCCGTGACAAGCTGGATAGTAAATGCTTTAAATTTTGAGACAGGCGGTGGTGGCGCACGCCTTTAATCCCAGCACTTGGGAGGCAGAGGCAGGCGGATCTCTGTGAGTTCGAGGCCAGCCTGGTCTACAAGAGCTAGTTCCAGGACAGGCTCCAAAACCACAGAGAAACCCTGTCTCGAAAAACAAAAACAAAAACAACAACAAAAAAACTTTTGAGACATGCAGGCTGTCAGTCATTCCTTTGCCACTGTAGTTCGAGCCTGTAAATGAGAACGTTTGGCCGGTGTTTCCATTATTCTGCATCTGTGGATACAACCAGCTATCCAAACTACTGTCTGCCCTGAACAGATCCAACATTTGTTCTTGTTATCTTTTCCCTAAACAATATAATATGCCAACTATGAACGTGGTATTTACATTATTATGAGTGGTGGAGGCAATTTACAGCAAATAGATGCAGGTTATGTGCAAACACTGTGCTATTCCTCCTGGGGGCTGGGGTTGAAGCTGTGGTGAGCCTTTCCCATGGGCTTGTCTTACTTCACAGTCCTAAATTCATGCCTGAAAGACATCAGCCATGCCCCTTTGTTTTGTTCTGTTAGCCTGGCTGTGGCACTTCCTGCCTTTCTGGGCTCTCTTCTCCTTTCCCTGAGATATTGGTGCTCTTAGAGACTCATGGACATCTTTTTTTAAAAATTACTTTTATTTTATGCCTATTAGTATTTTGGCTGCGTGTGTATATGGTCATCACATACAGACCAGGGTGTTAGACGCCCTGGGATTGGAGTATGGATGGTTGTGAGCCACCATGTAGGTTCTGAGAGCCAAACCTAGGAAGGTCCTTTGCAAGAGCAACATGTGCTCTTGACCACTGAGCCATCTCTCCAGCCCTAGACATCCTTTCTGTAGTCCAAGGTGATTGTCACAGTGTCTAAGACCGTTTTCATCGTTACTTGAAAAGTCTTGAATAGACTTTTCCTGAGGTCATCAGGACTGCTTAGCTATCTGTCTGCTAGATAACCACAGGGATGCCAATGTGACATGTCTATGGTCCAGTTAATGTCAGGTGTAGGGCACATGCCTTTAATCCTAGCACTCAAGAGACAGAGGCAGTTGAATTTCTGACTTTGAGACAGCCAGTGCTACATAGTGAGACTCCGTCTTGAAAAAACGCTACCTCCACACCTAAGATTCCCTGTCAGGGTGACTGCGGTCAGCCAGCAAGCAGTTTCCCGTCAGAAGTATGGTGCCAGAACTTTGTGAGATGCAGTTCCTCATCTTTCAGTGACTACTCTGTCTTGCTGTCTTCATTGCCTGCGGTACATCCAGCCTTTTGGATTTTTGTGGCCTAAATCATTGCAAGAGATTTCTGACCTGACTGATCACCCTGTCTCAGTGTCCTTCCCTTTCAGAGCACTCTACATATTTCTGCATTGTCAGTTAGAGCTTGCAGGGCCCACTGTGGTCCACCCCCACTTGACCTCCATTGCTTCTGCTCACTGCTGAGACAGTCAGTTCGATGGCTTCATGCACCTCTGTTTGTAGTATCCCTTCTCCTTGGGGTGCCTGTTTTGGCCTAGTTAGTTTAAAAGTCTGTCTCCTTTGGAACAAAGCTCTCACCTGCCACCCTTCTTCCTTGAGGTCACTGTTGGTCCTGCCACCTCACCAGCACTAAGTTGGACACTCACCAGTCACGGCTAACTTTCATAGGCCTGAGTCTCCAAGTCTGTAAAATGATCATAAAGCTATTTCCCTTCGAGCGTTTAGGACTTCTTCACTGTTCAGTAACATTTATTGAGTGCCTGCTGTAGGCAAGTGTTACTCTGGGTCTTGAGGATTGAGACGTGAACTCTGCTGATTCTGTAGCGGGAACAGGGTGACCAACCCAACATGGGAAAAGAATAGTAATCAACTCTGAATGTTCTAAGTACAGTGGAAGGCAGTACAGGCTGTGGCTGGGAGAAGGGGTGCTTTTCTGCTCAGGGTCCTTGGGGAAGACTTCTCCAAGCAGGTAATTTGAGGTAAGGTTGGAGAGCTAGAGACTGGCCACATGAGAGTGAAGAGATGGCTCGGCAGTTAAGAGCACTTGCTGCTCTTACAAAGGACCAGATTCAGGTCCCAGCACCCGTATGGTGACTCACAACCATCATAACTCCAGTTCTAGGGGATCCAGTGACTTCTGACCTCTGCAGGGACCAGGCATGCACACGATACACAGACATATATGCAGACCCAGACAACACAAATTTAAAGATAATTAAAAGTTTAAAGAGAAAAGCCACAGAGAACTGTTGGGAGAATGTTCAGGCATAGCTTGGTACCCCAAGTGAAAGCCATTGGGTGCAGATGGAACCAAGTAGTAGGGACTTGGGTTCTTGGGCTGCTGAGGACAGGAGGCTATTTCAGCTCAGCCCGCTCTGGGACTGCCCGATGAGGGGAGGGATTTGGGAAGTGCCCGGTATGCTAACATCTCTGTCTCTCTGCCTGTTGACAGTGTGTTGAGTGGCCTCTGAAGTTCCCTCAGGAGTTTGCTAGGATGGGTCTGAAACAGCCAACCGGCCTTCTCCTCTACGGCCCCCCTGGATGTGCTAAGACCACTCTGGTGAGGGCCCTGGCCACAAGCTGCCGCTGCTCTTTTGTGTCAGTGAGCGGAGCCGACCTCTTTTCACCTTACGTTGGAGATTCGGAGAAAGTCTTGTCTCAGGTTCGTTTGTTTTTAAGTATTGTCTTTTCCCCAGTGGTAAAAGTTATACATGCTTAAGTTTAAAATAAGAGCCCTCTTCCCCATAATTCTTCCACCCACTGCTACTGTTTCATGTATTTCTTCTCTCTGGTTTTGAATAATGTTGAGGTAAGGTTTTATCAATCTGAAGTTTTATCTTTTGTAAACTTTATTTTTAGTTTTTAAAAATCATTGCACATGTGTGTGCCCATATGTGGCATGTGCACTTGTGTGCAGGTGCTCACATAGGCCAGAGAGGATGCTGGATTCCCCTGGAACTGGAGTTGCAGGAAATTATGAGTCGCCAGTTTGGGTACATACTAGCCACCGAACTCAGGGCCTCTGTAAGAGCAGTAAGCACCCTTAGCCCCCTGAGCCATCTCTCTCGGTTTTTAAAGTTAAATATTTGTTATCAGGTAGGTGTGGTGGCATATGCCTTTTATTCTAGTGCTCAGGACAGACAGATTTCTGCGAGTTCCAGGCCAGCCCGGGCTACATAATGAAATCCTGTTTTAAAAGAAAAGAGCATTATCACTTCCATGTTAAATATCTTTAAATAAGACAACTTTTAATGACTATCTATCACTGACTTTTTTATTTACTAATTTCCCAGGTCTTAAGCACTTAGAGTCTTCATTTTTCTGTTTTAATGTTTGCAGATAGCAGAGTGAAAATAGTCACCGGATGGCGTGTGACGTTATGTTTTTTTTCCCTCACTAAGGTATTTCGACAAGCAAGAGCCAATACGCCAGCGCTTGTGTTTTTGGATGAAATTGACTCAGTCTTGGGGTCTCGCTCAGTCGGCACCTTGGGATGTGATGCTCGGGAGCGAGTTCTTTCAGTTCTGCTGAATGAGCTCGATGGTGTGGGAGTTAGGACGGTAGAGAGAAGAGGGAGTAAATCAGACCACCAGGGTAAATACCAGGAGCTGGGGCTCTTCTTTAGCCAGGGTGCACCATAATCCCAGGCCAGAATTAGGTAGCATTCCCACACGACTGCATTTCCCAGGCTGGATCCATCTTCTGGAGGGTTATAGGATGTCACTGACTTCTCGGGGCTTTTATAGGACTGATAAAAATTGTGATTTGGGCAGAATAAGTGAAAAGTCCTATAATTATCTGAGATGTGAGTTTTATTTTCTAAAGAATGAGAAATATATTTTACTTAATGGAGAAGGAATTTATTCTTATGAGTATGAGAATATATCCTGAGAAGGACTTACCCTCCTTCAATTACGAAAAAAACTAGTACTTGAGTAACTTCAGTAGTTGAAAGCGAGCGAAGTTAGTGAGTCCTCTGCCTCTGTGAGCCTCTGCTTCAGACAGAGTGGTTTCTTATCCTGAGTGGGTAATACCTGATTTATTATAATCATATTCCTGGTTTTTTCCCCCATTTTTAAGTTATTCCACAAAAGGAGCATCTTAACCACTCAGTAGGAATAAAGCACACTAAATTAGAAGGGGCCCACGATAACCTGATCTCATGATGCAGGGGTTCCCATTAGCATGCTGGGAAACTTGCTGCTTTGAGGGGTAAACACTGGAGAACTGTTTGGATTATCCAACTCAATGAATAGTTTTGATTTTAGGCCTTGTTGTGTCTTGCTTTTAACCGTTTCTTCTCTCGGGCTTAGGATTGTATGTAGGTCAGTGATAGAGTGACTGCCTGGCCTGACCAAACTCTGAGTGCTATCCCAGCACTATGCAAAACCAGGGGTGCTGGTTTGTGCTGGGAAACCCAGCACTTGGGGGGTGTGAGCAGGGGAGCAGAAGTTTAAGGTCCCTTTTGTTGGGTAGAGAGTTTGGGGGTAGCCAGGGGTCCATGCGATCCCACTTCAAACAGAAGCACATGTTGCTTCTTATCCAGGGTTTGCAGAACTGCAGCGCAGGTTGACCATTTCTGCCTCTGGGAAAAAAAAGATGAAATTTCCATCTTTGGGGACACGGAAAGCTAGACCTTCCAGAATTGTCATGGCCCCGTTAGCCACGCAGTCTGCCTTTGTAAGCGGTCTGTTTATAGTTGTCGTCCATCAGGGGCCTGAGTGGATTTGGGCACCAGGCAGGTGTCCTTCCGTCAGTTCTCACACAGAGAAACACCTGTCAGGACTACTGTCCTTTCAGACACACAGGTAGCTCTTCGATTAAGGAGTTGTTTGTGGGCTGACTTGGTACCAAGAAGGTGTCTGGGATGGCGAGTGAGCATCGTGGCTCTGAGGAGAGGTTGTCCTTGTTGAAACAGCACTTTGTCATGTGTGACTTACTTGAAAGCGTTTTCATGAGTAGCAGTTTGTTGACGTGACTCTGTGTTATATGCTTTCCACAGAATACCAAGAGATTCTTCATCGGAATGTCATGATCATTGTGGCAACCAATAGGCCTGACGTCTTAGATGAGGCCTTGCTGCGGCCTGGAAGACTGGATAAGATGATCTATGTCCCCCCTCCTGATCAGGAGGTAACGGCTGATGTTTCCTCTGCACTCAGCAGCGCACCCATGTCTGCCTGAGTTCCAGATGGGCGCGGGCCAGCCTCGTGCTCTCTCTGATTGGTGTCTGTCCGTGCCTTCAGGGAAGCATGCCTGGAAGTGACTCTGGTGTCTCAGCAGTGCCAAGGGCACTGGGTGCTGTTGTGCACTGGGATGGAGGAGGCGCTGAAGGCTCTGGCAGTGTTTGGGGCTGCAGGGACTGTAGTGTGTTCAGTCAGGAAATCCTTCACTTCAGATGCACAGAGCAACCTGCAGATGGTGAAGGGCTCCAAGAATTAATTTTTCCTTCCTTGGGCTTTTATCAAGTTTTAAAGAGATTTTTTTTTTTAAAAAAAAGTAATGTCTGATGCTTCTAAATGTTTCTGATAATTCATGTGTTTGTTTCTAAGACTGTTCTGATAGTGATATTTGTTCTCATAAGAAGAAATGGCTATGATTGGCTACTTCAAGCATAATTAAGAAACTACTTTTCACCATTACTGTGTGGACCACTGATGACTCAATCTCTCTCTTTCAGAAGCAAGAATGATTTTAATTGATTATGAATCCCCCCACACATTACACACACCACACAAATATACTACACATAGACACCACACACACAAATATACACATTATCCACATACACCACACATACACAAATACACACGACACACAAATATATACACTGCACACACCACACCACACACAAATACATATACTGCACATATACACCACACACACAAATATATACATTATACGCGTACACCACACACACAAATACACACCACACACAAATATATACACTGCACATACCACACCACACACAAATACACACACTGCCCATATACACCACACACACACACACACACTTTGTAATACGATAAAAAATTTGAACTTAAAATGTTTAATGTATCTGTGTTGAACCTGAATGTTAAGGTTTGTAAACATTTTGTCTTTGGTTTTGTTCCAGGGCAGGCTTTCTATTTTAAAAGTCTGTACAAACAACATGCCGATAGGACCTGATGTTTCCTTAGAAAAGCTAGCGGCAGAAACGGGTTTTTTCTCTGGAGCCGATCTTAGAAACCTCTGCAAAGAGGTAAGTTTGAAGTTTGTGCTGTTTTGTTTTGAGGCAGAGGGGTCACTGTAGGTTTTTTTTTTTTCCCTCTGTAAACTTTACTAACTATAAAATTCAGAAGAACACATACATCTTAAGTATATAATAGTGAGTGATTGTGAAGTGACCAGACTTTTAGAATCTTCCTAGGCCCCTTCCTACCCTCTGTCCCCTGTTGCTCCACAAAGATCACCTCACTGCCCACTTCTACACTGGAGACCCAACACTGCTCCCTCCTGCCCTAAGTCGCCTCATAGCTTTTGAACTTTGAGTTTCTACACTCTGCCATGAAGTTTGTCATTACATTTTCTGTACATGTACATGGCTACAAGGAGACTTGCTGAGCCATAAAACATGTCATCTTTTCTTTTATGAGCAGTGCTGTGTAAACTTTCCTATGTTCAGGTTAAGGTTCCTCTCATCTTAAACTATATGTGGACTCAGAGTATATGTTATTCTGCAGTTTGCCCATTTACAGCTAGATTTTTAATGTACAAAAAACTGTGGTCAGCCAGGCTGTGGTGGTGCACGTCTTTAATCCCAGCAGAGGCAGGCGAATCTCTCTGAGTTTGAGGTCACTGTGATCTACAAGAGCTAGTTCCAGAACAGGCCCCAAAGCTACAGAGAAACCCTGTCTCGAAAAACCAAAACCAAAACAAAACTGTGCTGTAGGGTGGATTTTTAGGCACCTTAACTTCTAGCTTAATGTTTGTGATGGCATTGAACTCCTCTGACGTGAGGCCAAAGGTTTACTGCCAGACTGCAGTGTTGATGTTATTGTTAGTTTTTTTTTCCATTTTTTTATTGAGAAAAGGAGAAAAAAAACAAGTTTCCACCTCCTCCCAGCCTCCCATTTCCCTCCCCCTCCTCCCACCCTTCTCCCCCTCCTCCCACCCTTCTCCCCCTCCCCCCACTCCTCTCCCCTTCCCTCTCCAGTCCAAAGAGCAGTCAGGGTTCCCTGCCCTGTGGTAAGTCCTAGGACCTCCCCCCTCCGTCCATTTCTAGGAAGGTGAACATCCAAACTGGCTAGGCTCCCACAAAGCCAGCACATTAAGTAGGATCAAAACCCCGTGCCATTATCCTTGACTTCTCATCAGCCCTCGTTGTTCGCCATGCTCAGAGAGTCCAGTTTTATCCCATGCTTTTTCAGTCACAGTCCAGCTGGCCTTGGTGAGCTCCCAATAGATCAGCTCCACTGTCTCAGTGGGTGGGTGCACCCCTCGTGGAGAAAATTGAGATCTTGGGGGTGGGGTGGGATGGGGGTAAGGGGAGATGGGGAGAGAAAAGGGATAAGGGGAGAATGGGGGGAACTTGGGGAAAAAGGAGGATTGGGATAAAGGAAGGTTGGATAGGGGAGCACGGAAGCACAATTCTTAGTTAAGGGAGCCACCTTAGAGTTGGCAAGAGACTTGAACCTAGAGTGGCTCCCAGATGCCCAAGCCAAGGTCCCCAGTTAGTTCCTTGGGCAGTTGAGGATAGGGAACCTGAAATGACCCTATCCTATAGCAATACTGACGAATATCTTGCATATCATCATAGAACCTTCATCTGGTGATGGATGGAGATAGAGACAGAGACCCACACTGGAGCACTGGACTGAACTCCCAAGGTCCCAATGAGGAGCAGAAGGAGGGAGAACATGAGCAAAAAAGTCGAGACAACGAGGGGTGCACCCACCCACTATTGTTAGTTTTTAAATGAAGCAAATTAACTGTTCTCTCTTGCTGGTCTCTGTCATCAGGCTGCCTTGTTTGCTCTGCAAGAGAATGGACTGGAAGCAACGTCAGTGAAACAAGAGCACTTCAGGGAATCGCTTAGGACTGTGAAGCCATCCTTGAGTCGGGAAAGCTTGACAGTGTATGAAAACTTATTTAAGAAAGGACTTTCTGCCTTGGAAGATAATTAAATTTTTATTTTATTCAGTTTTTCACTTTCTTATGGTTTGCAACTTCACACTTTCCTGAGAGAGAGAGAGAGAGAGAGAGAGAGAGAGAGAGAGAGAAACTTGCCCTGATAAACACCATCTTACTTCTAGAAAGTATATTAAAACACTAATAAAAAGTGTGTGTGTGTGTGATTTTGTTAGGATAGTTATTTTTGGTCTCTTTTTGTGGCTCTGACGTGATGTCACGTTTACAGGAAAGTTGCGGGACTAGAACGGAGGACTTCAGCGTTCTCCAGCCCAGATTCTTCCGTTTAGCATTTCGTCATTGTTCTCTGTCCTTCCTCCACACACACAGTTTTCTGAACAGTTGGCGACTGGGATACAGTCATACATCACTCTACTTGGGGAGGACACTAAGAAGTGTGTCATTAGGCAGTTCTGTCCCGAACGCCATAGAGTAACGCGGTGACAGCTACCACACTGCCAGGGAAAGCCTTGGGAGGTCACTGTCATACATCCCTGTCTGTTAAACACTGTCTGACTCCTCCTCCGTTCTAGGTAGTGTTTAGTGCATGCGTCTTACAAATAACATTGTCTCATACTGCAGTTCCTTCACCAAGCTCAGGAAATTCAACATCAACATAGTATTTTAATGTATCCAGTGAGTTCCTCTCTCTGTCCCTGTGATGGCCTACATAATCATCACGTAATCATCTTTTTCTGTCAGACGATCGAGTCTGGGGTTACACCTTGAGTTTAGCTATCATACGCCTTCCATGTTTTACTTGGAAACAGTTCTCGGTCTTTCCTGGCCTCAACATCTTTGGAAACAGACCAGTTTTTGGTAGACCAGTCAGCTCCAGCACGTCTGCACGTCTTTGGATGTACGTTTTGTGTCACCGTGATTGTTCTTCATCCTTTCCGCTGGAGGCACAGTGCGCTCCGCGTCGTTGGTTTCTCCTTTGTAGTCTTAACTCCCCCACTTTGTAATTGTAATTGGAGGCCATAGTTTTGGTCTGTATGTTTTTATTTTTATAGAAGCAATTAAGGATTAAAAACCCTTTGATATATAACCTTCCAGTTCTTGTTGTTGTTGTTTTTTTAACTCCTGAAGTAATGATAGCGCACAGTTTTTTACTATTGTCCTCACTAGCAATGTGTAGGGAGCACCTTACCTGGGCAACCCAAGGTGGCATCTAGGTGCCTATCACCAAAATGCCCAGGAAAAGGCAGAGTCTGACCAGGACATCCTGTGACTCAGTTTCCACAATCAGAAGATTTCTCTGGACAACTTCCAAGACTGTTTTAAAAAATTGGTTTTTACTTAGACTTTATGGTTTACTAAAGCTGGTTTTCATGACATTCTCACACACATGTCCTGTGTTCATATTACCTTTCTCCACCTCTTCCTTCTCATGGTCTATTCTGTTAGCCCAGATACTCCCCTGTGGTGGAATGCTATTTTAAAATGTGTCGCATTTTTTATGCCATGGAACGTGTTTAAGGATGCAAAGATTTGTTGCATTCTATGTTGCATTTGTTTAACGGTGAAGCTGTGTTACTTTACCTGTCTAACACCTGATTGGTCTAGTAAAGATCTGAATGGCCAATAGCAAGGCAGGAGAAAGGATAGGTGGGGCTGGCAGACAGAATGAATAGAAGGAGAAAAAGAAGGATCAGGAAGCAAGAAGAGGAGAGGAAGACACCAGGGGCCAGCCACTCGGCTACAACTACAGCCGGATGTTGCGATGTAAAGAAAGGCCTACAGAAAAAAGCTAATAGCCCAGAGGCAAAAGACAGACAGGATACTTTTAGTTAAGAAAAGCTGACCAGAAACAAGCCAAGCTAAGATTGGGCACTTGTAAGTAAGAATAAGCCTCCATTTGTGATTTATTTGTGAAGTGGGTGGTGGCCCCCAGAGGAGCAAAGAGTAAAACAACCAACTACCGTGTTCATTTCACTTTCACGCCCAAATCTTTGTGGAAGGTGAACACTTGGCCTGGAAAGCTTGTCAGTAAGTTGGCAGTGTTTATTTCCCACTGTACTGAGCTCAGACTGCTCTAGAGCCTTAGTTGTTGGCCCTAGCATGAAGAACACCTGGAACTCCCAGGATCAGCACCCACATGACAGCTCACAACTGTTACTCCTGTTCGAAGCTAGGGTGTTTGCTGCTTAAGTTTACATTCCATGGGAGAGAGCTCAACAACCATGACTGGATGTGTAAGTAGGTTGTCCTCACTACAGAAGGCTCTAAGAGTGTCTAGCATTGGAAGTTGGGGAGACAAAGCCTCCTCAAAGAATAGTATCCTGATGGGAACTCGGGGGCCTGCCCAAGTTTGGAATGTGAAGGGTGGTAGCCATACCTGCTTCACATCCTGGTCTCCCCGGCAGCAGTGGCCTGGCGCCCCACCTGACTGCCAGTGTTCAGTGTTTGTGAAGTGGGAAATCTTATTAGGGAAAGTGTATGAAGAACCGGGTGGCGGAAAATTCTAGATGGTTCTACCCACAGCACTCAGAAAAAAAAGACCAAAAGATACAAATTGTTAGCATATACCTATTTTTTGTAATAATATTTATTGAGCAGATAGTTTAATATTTAAATTGCTGCGTTTACCTTAGTAAGTGAGATTGGTGGTTAAATACAAACTACCTTGAATTGCTGTAATTCTTTGAACCCAAGAGAAAAACAAAGCAAATAACCCTACCCCTGCGTCTTTCAGAATTCAGTGTACCTGGGCATTCATGCGAAAGGTCCAAAGTGTGGCTTCCTGGATCTGTCATTGCTACAAGTAGACATGAGTGTGTTTTAAAGGTTGTATGAGCACATTCTATGTGTAGATACATATTTCAATCCCTTTAACATTTTATCCTAAAAAATTGGAAACAAAAAATAGAACCATGTAGCGACTTCACTGAATGATCAGTACTATGGTGAATTTGCTAGCTATTGTGACCAGAGCAGTTATGAACATGGATGGGCACGTGTCTCTGTGGTAGGAAATAGACTCTTTTGGAAAGATGCCCGGAAGTGTACTGGAAAGAGCTGTGTAGGTTGCAGGGGTGGGCGGGGGAGTGGGGGAGTCATCAATGGCCTTGCCCAGCTGAAAACTACAGTAGTGACCAATGTGTGAGGCCAGCCTGGGCTATGCTGTAGCCATGGGTGCAGTAGTGGCATAGATGCTACGGGGTTAACCAACCATTAAAAAGTTTGGATTGAAGAAATTCCACTCCACAGAAGGAAACCCTCGTCTGTTACTGTAACTCTGCCCGAGAGCCTGTAACTGGGGAGTCCAGAGGCCCTAGGGATGAGCCTACTATGATTCCTATGTTTGGTAGACGTAGCATCGCTGCCCTTTAAATCCGTCTCTCTCCTGGTAAATGGGTGCAGCTCTCAGACACAGGAGAGTGTTTATTGTGCGGTGGGCACTATTAGGGCAGGAACCCGGAACTGATTAAAATGCAGAGGCCAAGTTGTCAGTTGAGTACCAAATGGGACATCTCTGTCATACTCGCTCAAGGTTCAGTGATCATCATGGGGGAGGGGTGTGTGTGTGTATAAGAACCAAGGGTGTGGGGACTGGAACTAAACAGTGTCTTCTGGACATGACAGGACCACCACTCTTGAGCTCATGGTGGCTGGGTGCCTCTGTGGGTCAAACTAATCAGTAGTTTGTTACGGGGGTGGGGAAAGAGTTCATGACATCCCTCCCCTTTAACTGAGGAGCTATAGACAGTCGATGGTTTTTCCAAGAGAATCAGTTTCTTTTTAAGGATTTGGCCCCCAGCAGGGGATGACCGCATACCCCAGAGTATATGGGAAGCACAAACTGGACTCAGTTATTTCAAACAAACAAGCACAAGACCCCATGAAGTTGGGAGGGTAGGGAGGTAGGGATGGATCCAGGAGGAACTAGAGGAGGAGTGGAGGTGAATATGCTCAAAATACCTTGAGTAAAATTCTCAAATAAAATACAAATTTAAAAGCTGTTCTCTTTTTGCTCAGTTGCACACATCTGTGATTCCAACACTCACCTGGCTGAGTGGGAGGATCTTAAGTTTGAGACCCACCTGGGCTAGGCTGTAGTAAGACAGCTGTTCCCAACCCCTGTGCACCCCCCTCCCACCCCCCCCACTCCCACCCCACCCCCCGCCAAAGGTTTTCTTTACTACAAAGGGATTTTGTACTGGAAATTTAACCCAAGCCACAGGATTATCCAATTTTTTGATATCGTGGCATAATGTCATCATCTGTAAATGTATTGGGTTATCTTGCAACTCTGGGGCTACAGTCTGGACACTCCAGTACATCCTGAGCTAGGGGTTCCCACCGACACAACTTCACCATCAGTGTGATTTAAAACAACTTTAAAGTACCAAGTTTGTTTTGATTTAGGGTGCACTAATAGTGCTGGTGTTGGGAGACAGACTTCCCTTCCGATTCCATCTCTATCACTCACTAGCTGCATGCGTTGACCATCTCTGCATCTAATAGCCCTCCCCCCCACACACACACCCTGCCCCGCTCTGCTCCCGTCCAGGAATCTGGCTCAGTGGCCACAGTCGCTGGGTTAGAGGAATTATTTACAAAGCAAACTGCCATCCTAAGTTTCTGAGCTGGGGGGAACCCAAAGGTGAAGCCAACAGTTCGAGTCCACAGCAGAAAAGGACACCTGGAATCTTCTGCAGTTGAATTTTGTTTCTTTTCCCTTAACCCTGACTTTTTTGGGGGGAGGGGGCAGGCATCAGGACTCCGTTGGAGTTTATATGAACTTTACAATTTACTTTTTAGCAATCTCCGTGTGCGACATGTCACGTTTTAGAACTTTTATGTGGTTGAATTTGGTCCAGTTTACTCCGCCCTGAACCTAGCATCCTTTCCTGGTACTCCGGGAGAAGGTTGCAGTCAGCTCTGGAGCCCCTGTCCTCCCTTACCCCTCCCTCAGTCCCTCCTTTCTAGAAGGGCTGGGTGCCTTTCACCCAGGCTTTGGCCATCACACGGGAATCTCCCGGACTTTTGGAGGTGCAGGACCGACAGAA